AGCTGCCTCGATGCGCTGCTTCGTCGAGTGTGGGGATGCGGTGCTTGTACACCTGGGACTTCACAAACCCCCAAACGAAAAAGCCGCATATCGTGATTGAGGTCTGGCGACCGGGGTGCGCCCACAGCATGTTCGGTGATCCCCGGCCCATCCAGCGTCCTGGGAAGGCGTTGTCCAGCCAGTGCCTTCACACTCGTCGACCAGTGGGGTGGCACACCATTTTGCATGAAGATGCATACGTTCCACTGCATGTGCAGTATTTCCAACTCAAGAAGGAACTTATCCCACATTATCTTCAGGTAGGCACTGCTTCCAGTTATGGTGTCATTGAAAAAGAAAAAAAAAAAGGGAGGCCAACAATGCCCTCTTTCCACTTTCCGCACCAGACTGTTACCTCGCTTCGACGACTGCAAAGCTTTCTCCAGCGTCCAGCACGGGTTTGTCGAACTCCAATAACAGCAGTTCTGTGTATTCACCTGCCTGTCCAGGTGAAATGTCGCCTCATCACTAAACAACAGGAACTGCAGATGTGCAATCCTGAGGAGCTCGTCTCGGAAAAAATCGAGCCGCTTCTCGTAGTCTCCGGGCAACGACTCCTGAATCAGGCCAAGCTTGTATGGGCGCATCTTGCCGATAGCTTTGCGCACAGTGTACGTGGATATTCCGAACAAACGCACGGCTCTTCTCAAACACAAGTGGGGATCTGCCTCGAAGGCCCCGACGATGGGGAAGCGGTGTTCTTCCTTTTGAGGAGGAACGTGGAAGACGTGAGTTTTGTTCTTGACGCTACATTCTTTTGCAAAGCGCCAAGCCCACATCCAGAACACAGACTTTGAAGGTGGCCGTAAGCCGCATCCGAAACAAAACTTGCGCTTGACCTTTATGAAGCTCCCCAGTTCAACGTACCAAAGTGTGACCCGACTCCATTGCTTGTGCGTTAACTGCCGCATAAGGAGTACCGGTTGGTAATAAAACTGAATATGAACCATCATGCGTGTAGATGGCTGTAGGCGTTCGTGAAGACAGAAGCAGACAACGTCTGTTTCGGTATTTATCGGGACATTTTTTTATAAAAAAAAAAGTGACCACAATTCAAGACATTTAATTTTGTTTTCTTCTATTAATAACCGACAACGTTAAGTGCAAGGATACAATACTTTTTTCAGGTATTTTAACTTTGCCGCCGGTCGTTCGGATTAGACAAGTGGGGGAGCGTGGGAAGCTCAGAGTACAAGTGCACCATCTGTAAGATCCGGTCGCAAACAGAGGCATTTCGTCTGCTGCGCCTCATGGATGGCGTCCTCCCATAGGCGAAAACGTTTTTTTTATTTTCAACTTTTTATACTGGTAATGGTAAGTGTTGATATTTTGGCATCTTGCTCGAACGGTTCGGGCTACGTTCTGATGGAGTTGGAGCTACCTGCAATGTCTAGTTTATTTTTGCAGTGCAAAAAACCGGGTTCAGATTGCCATTTTAATTAAAGGTTTAAGCGCGATGCCAAATACTTCTCACGCTCTGCATGAAAAAACTGCACGAGCTGTTCCACCTATGCCCTTTTATTTGTGAACCTGTGTTGGGACTTGTGGGCTGAGGGAAGACTGGTCAGAAAATACCCCGGGACATTGCTGCTATTCATAATGTTTATTGTGCATACCCACTTGAGCGAGGAGAGCTAGATTATTCTGTTGAACAAAAGTTTTGGGAAGGCTGGAATTAGGCTAACAGTCGGCAGCACAAACTGCCAATCTCAATGTGCTGCAAGTGTGCACATCCACTTGGCAGTCAATTTCCTGGCGATGAAACTGCTACTGCGAGATCCCAGCATGGTGCAAGGCGGCAAAATAGAAACTTTTTAAAGAGACACCCTGCCAGAAGAACATTTTGCCTCAACTAAGATTTGCAAAGGCTAAAAAAAAGAGCAACATTGTGAAAGCTTGAATTGTCAACCTTTACTTCCGAGAAACCGCAAAACACAAGTCCAAATACAGATTTGTCTTCTGCAGATTTTTCCGAAGACAAGATAAAAGTAAAAAAACATATAACTGCAATGGAGCTATGTTTACAAATGTATTGCACAATGTAAAAACTAACACCCGGAAAACAGCAATACAACGGATACTGCAACCCAAGCACAATCATGCCTGAATTTGTATTCCTTGAGACTTAGCTGCTGTGACCCATCTCATTTTGTTACAAAAATAGAAGGTCTGCAATGAGGACAGCATAGAAACCAGCTACTATTCAGTGCTATACAAAAAATGAGCAAAAGGCATAGACTGAAATAAAATGACACAGTATGAAAATTATGATGCAGAGAGGCAGGTAACACAGAAACAACCATCAGACCCAAGAACACTGAGTAACAAAATAATAGAACACCTGGACAATACATGGTGATGCCTCAAAGCAGGTATTGTATAATACGTGATGATGTAAATGCCAGTGCAGAAAAGGAAGGAGAAAATACATTAAGTATGTGTGTGTTAAAGTCAGTACCAAGTTCTCAACACCTTTTTTCAATGTACTCTTGAAACCGCATAACACAACTAAAAACATGCACATTGGTACTGGTACATAGACATACCCAGCGGTACGAGGAATGTATCCCAGCCAACGGAGTGTGACCCGGCACCCCAACGTTTACATGCAGAAGCCCGGAGTACGCATCTCTTTCCCGCCTGGAATATGAATATTCGCAGACCACCTAAGAGCACCGACAAGCAGATGCTTTGACCCAGTCTCACCCCGACGCTTTTCCTTCTAGTAAACTCAGTTAAACCGCAATCTCGACTCCACACCGTCACTTTGTAAGGCCTCGGATATGATGTCAATTAATAACTAAACCTGCTGGGTCATGTGGGAACTAAACTGCCAACACCCCAAACGGCAGCAAGAAGCGCCACGGTGCGTACACATGCCCTTCACTCAATCTCCCGCCGAGGACACTGCTAAACTAAGATAGCGCGTTACAGGACAAAAAAATGAAAACCGCATAAAACATTACTCCCCACTCGCTTCAGTATTGAGATCTGCAACAGGCAAAAGAAACAACAGCATGGCACCTGAAACTGCTTACCTTATCTTAAAAAGAAAAGTGAAATTCTGGTCACACATTTACTTTCTCAAGTTTATAACTTCTCCACAAAGAGGAGAATATGTCAATGCAAAACAATACAGAAATTTTTATGAGCATCATAGAACACACCATCATCAAGTGGAAAGGAACTCGGAACAAGAACAGAGGCATGGCCCAGTATGCATTAAGAGGTAGAACATGAGAGTAAGCTTCTCTGACCCACCCTTTTTGCATTAAAAATAATGTTTATTAATTGTTACACTTAAAAGCCCCTTGGCAAGCCTGCTGGCAATCCATCGTTCCTTAAAGGAGCGATGCAACAATTTTTGTACTTTGCGCAAATACCGCTTAAAACGGATCCCCAACGTTAATGACCTATGAAACACGCGTTCGTTTTTCACCCCACGCAATAGAAGCCCCAGAAAAAAATTAAAGAAAAAGGAGCAGCGTTCACCCCCTCAACTCGTAGCCAGAACAAGCGGCCACGTGATCTGGAGCCGATTATATGCCGCCAGTGTTGATCATAGCCACGCGCTGGGGTTGGCAAAGCGCAGGACACGCGCTGAGTTCCAGACATTGTTATGGCTCGGCTGTTGTCGTCGTTGCAGCGATTGGACACGGGTCACAACCCGAATGCTTCTCGAGCTAGCAATTGTCACGAGCCCAAGTCGAGTGCCCACGCAATGCTCGGGTCCAATCTATGAACCGCATTCAAATATCGTCACTTGGGTGTACTGCGATCCCCGAGTTACGTCATCAAATTTTGCAAAGGAGAGACTGAATGAAAAGGATCGCTTTTGTCCTTGAAATTACACCTCAACAAAGGAGTTTCTTGGCCAATGGCGTTGCGTGTGAGTATCCTTGAGTCCCAGGTGTGCCAGTAAGCTCGTGTAGAGAGAAAAACATCCCAATTGAATATCGTTGCACAGCTCCTTTAAAGGACACATGCAAAGGAAAAAACATTTTTTTTTAGACAGCTTAGATGGAAAAAGGATGTCATAAAACGATTTTACAACGAAGAAACAAAATTTTTAGAGCTATATTTACGGCGCTATACGAATTTGTAGTTGGCGCTGGCGGGAGCCGCCGCTGGTCACGTGGTAGGCCCGCGCGCCGCCGCGCTGCGTCGCCGCCGCACGCTGAGCGTTGTGCGAACGCCGCTTCAACGCGTTTCTCCACGCCGCCGTCGCCGCCGCCGCACAAGTTCGTCTGCTTCGGGGCGCCGCCGCCGTCATCTGACCGGCGCACAGGTCTATCACGTCTGCTTGCGCTTTTTCAGGAGTTTCCTTTGGGCTCTAAAAGTTACTTATTCGTCTTGGTTTTTTGTTATACTTCAAACAAAGATGAATAAGTTACTTTTAGAGGCCATAGGAAGCTTCCGAAAGAGCGCAAGCACCACGTGATAAATAAAGACCAGTCACGTGATAAATACAGACCACTTTTCCGCGGTGCCCGCGGACGCCAACTACAAATTCGTTTTGCGCCGTAAATATAGCTCTAACAAATTTTTTTCTTCGTTGTAAAATCGTTTTATGGCGTCCTTTTTCCATCTAAGCCGTTTAAAAAAAATGTTTTTTTCCTTTGCATGTGTCCTTTAAGGCTGGTTCACATACTTGTGGCTGCTTACGACCACGTGCCTTAAAACCCCTTAAAGTCCCTAATGACGAGAACAGACTGGAACACTTGGCATTTCCTCATATATCATGTTTCTTTCATGCATCTCTTTATTCTTGACTTGAAGAATGTTGACAAACATTCTAACCAACCTTTTCTTATATATAGTAAGCTAGTTCAACCTTGCAAATATTGCAAAACATTTGCTTCGACGAACTGCAAGTATATACCTTTTCGCCTGTGCATTTCGCTATGATGGATCAGACTACACTTCGGAGCAAAAGCTTGGGGACAGAGTGTGCACTTTAATGGCTTTTCGCATGTGTGTTTCACATGTGTGATAGCAGACTGCTATCTTTAGCAGTCTTGAGAAGGCTTGGGAAGCAAAAGCCTGAGAAGCAAAGACTTTTCAGCATTGTGTGTTTGATTATGACTTTGCAAATGTGACTTCTGAGCAAAGGCTTGGTAACATAGCCTGCACTCATAAGGTTTTTCACCTGTGTGCATTCGAATATGTCTTTTCAGAAGGAAATTCTGGGAAAAGGCTTTGAGGCACAGCTTGCACTTGAACGGCTTTTCACCTGAGTGTGTTTTCTTGTGGTAGCTCAGACCGCCCCTGTAAGCAAAGGCTTTGTAACACAGCTCACACTTGTAAGGTTTTTCACCACTGTGTGTTACATTATGGATTCGCAGCTGGTAATTTTGAGCATAGGCTTTGGGGCACAGATTGCACTTGTGCGGTTTTTCACCGTGTATTCGACTATGGTGTTTCAAAGACGAACTTTGTGTAAACACTTTTGGGCAAAGCGCACACTTGAATGGCTTAACACCTGTGTGTGTTTGCTTGTGGTAGATCAGACTGGTTTTGGAAGCAAACTTTTGGGGGCACAGCTTGCACTTGAACACCATTTCACCTGTGTGTGTGTTCTTGTGGTAGATCAGACTGCCCCTAGAAGCAAAGGCTTTGGAACACAACTCACACTTGTAAGGTTTTTCACCACTGTGCATTACTTTATGGGTTCTCAGCTGGAAATTTTGAGCAAAGGCTTGGGGGCACAAATTGCACTTATAAGGTTTTTCACCACTGTGTATTCGATTATGGTTTTTCAAAGAGGAAATGTGTGTAAACTCTTGGGGGCAAAGCTCACACTTGAATGGCTTTACACCTGTGTGTGTTTGCTTGTGGTGGATCAGACTGCTTTTGTGAGCAAACTCTTGGGGGCACAGCCTGCACTTGAATGGCTTTTCACCTGTGTGTGTTTTCTTGTGGTAGATCAGACCGCTCCTACAAGCAAAGGCTTTGGAACACAACTCGCACTTGTAAGGTTTTTCACCACTGTGGGTTTTCTTGTGGTTGTTCAGACTGCCCCTGTGAGCAAAGGCTTTGGAACACAGCTTGCACTTGAAAGGTTTTTCACCACTGTGTGTTCGATTATGCTCAATCAGAGAGGAATTCCGACTAAAGACATGAGGACACAGCTTGCACTTGAAAAGCTTATCACTTCTGTGCTTTTGAGTGTTGCTGTGCACTTTGAACTTTGAGGCAGGAAATGTGAAAGGAGGTAGGCCCTTGAATTGTTCATCACCATGGGCAACCAAGTGGCTCACAATTCCATGCTGTTCTCTAGTGAAGTAGGTGCAGGAACAGCATCCAAACCAGATGTCCTCAGTGACTTTCAAAGGGCAGCTGGTCTTCCCCAACAGTGCAGCTTCATCTCCTAAAATAAAACAGTATTAGGAGATACATGGCAAGCTTAACCAAGATAGTCAATTGGTTTTAAAGTAACTACATAGTAATTACTGTAGTTTGGCTTCAACTGAGTAGAATAAAATCTCACAGTGCCCTTTTTCAGTTCCAGAAAACACTTAAAAACAATTAACTCAATTAAATGTTCTATTAGCATGAACAACATTATGTTAAAGGAGACACACAGAAGGAGACATTTGTAATATTATTTATAATAACTGAGCAAAACTTTTAAATGAAAGTGATTGACCTCCTTTTTTATAAATCTGATGTCTTGATAAGCTTGTTTTTCATGTCCTGAGTGCAATGTATATACAGAACACTTAAAAGAGCCAAATAAAATAAGCTAATTTGCTCCTTTAAACAATCGAACGAAATTGCAAGAACTCATTTTTCTTGGGGCTAACACAAGTTAACCAAACCTTAATAGTGGCATTCTAGAAATTCACGACAAAGGTTTTTTGTAGTAGGATTATATTAGGGGCAATTTTAGAGCAACTAAATGTTGCATAGAATTGTTAATTAAGCCTGTGCCATTGAGTATTTTAATAACATCCCCTTCTCCGCTATCTCACGCACTAGACGATTGTCACTGAAACATTCTGCCATTTGTTTCATATTATAGCGAATCTCACTGGTCTTTTTGGAGCGTGCCAGGATAGATTTTTCTGGAGCTTGCCTATTTCACTGGGCGATCAGGATTGAGACAGACGTGTTCCACTAGTTCAGTGGTTCTCAAATGGGGGTCTGCAGGCCCTTTGGGGTTTGCAAAGACACTCTAGGAGTCCACGAAGCCCTACCTCATCAGTCAAGCCCGGCAAAAAGTTGTATTTTTCAGATTCAGTAGAAACGTTCAAAATAGTGGTTCAGTTTTCTCGCGTGTATGTCATTGAGAAACGTCTACTGTACACTAGCCCATAGCTATATTAATTTATTAAGTCAATAGTATAATTAACCTATACCTTTCTTTTTCCCTCACCACGAACGGAGTCCCCCATCATATCCGCCAATCCACAAGGTGTCCGCGAAACATCAATGCTTGAGAACCACTGCACTAGTTGTTTTGGGTCACCTCCCACTCCTGATCTCAACCTGTTTCCGAGGAAAGTCACTCCACCGATTCTGGAGGATTTGACCAGAAGTCAGTCTGGCCAGCCCTGCTTGCACACAGGACTTGCTTGCTTGCCGCAAATCTGGGCCGCAATGCCAATCTTGCGTCAAAAGAATTCGTAAAGCGCGATCCCAACCAACACGTTTTTGTGCGCGCGTAGGCCGTGAAATTCCCGGGAATTGTGTATTTCGTGACGTCTTGCCGATTCCGTGCGTTTTTTGGCAGCGCATAAGAAAATTGGATATTTTCAACTTTTTCTGAAGGCGCAAGAAAACACACTGGGACGTAGTAGGGCACTCCTGTCTCCCAGCCAATCAGTGGAGGGCACTAGTTCCAGCTCCGTGTTTCTTTGCCGTCTGGCGTAGATACTCTCTGCTTGCTTGCAAGTATGGCTGCATCTATGATTTCCTATTTCCGACGCGAGGAAGGTGACTTTTGCAGCCGAAAAGAAGGCTGCTGCGGACGTGCAGAAAAAAGACGAAACTGCATTTGAATTGGTCGTCGCTTCACTGCCAGAGTGCAAGCGTGCATGCATGCTCGGCCAAAGCCGCGCCTAACAAACGTACATAGTTGTGACTCAGAAAGCGCCCCGGAAACAGCAAAAAAGTCATGAGATACGCAATTTCCAGGAACCGCACGGCCTACATGTAGCAGTACCAGCAACGACAAGGGTTGCTTCTATTTCCCGCATGACTTCAACTGCCTCCTCTGACCTCCGCAGAAGAGGCTGAAAATCAAGACATACTTGGACACACCGTTCACGAGTATTCCGATGAAGAGGCAAGTGGCTAGCGCTGATGAACATTGCTTATTGACACATATTTTCACATCATGATTAACTTCGCTCGTGTGTCGAGCACGTGCTGTTAGCGCCGCGATTGCGGAAGCATGTGCTTCGAGATCCGGGACTGCGGGAAGGGGATTCTCGGGAAGGTGAATGACGGGAAGGCATCCACCGATCCCGAAGGAGTGGTCATTCCTGTGGGGGTCCATTTCCGATCTGCTCTGCTGATCCCAGCGTGCACCAAAACGACCAGTGGCATTCGCCATTAGTTTTCTTCACAATTCAAATAATAATGGTAATAAAGACACTGATATTGGCGAGGACCACTTTCAATGTGATGAATGCCGTGGGGGCCCCATTGGCGCAGTGGTTGATAATGACCCTTGCGAAACATTGCGCTATTACACACTCCAGAAAGGTGATTGCCATAGCAGCTAATATTGCTAAGCCAATCACTTTGCAAGACTTGGGTTGTGTATATGTTAGTGTTTGTGTCCAGCTACCTAGTAGGCAGGGAAGGCAATGGTGCAACTTTCTCAGGAACGTTTGACTTTGCTCACCAGTGACATAGCAGCAATTTTTGTTTTCCCATTTGTCAGTTCATTTGTTTGCACCATTTGGAACCCCCAAAAGCAACATTAAGCCAAGAGTGCTTTGCTTCTAGATCTATTAGCAAAAAACTATCGCATCCAAGGAAAAAAATAAAACAGCAGCCACGTCGTGGGTGTTGTGGAGATACAGTTGCTCATAAATTTTTTGGGGCGCCGAAATTTTGGACATGCCCAATTAATCTGAGATTTTCACGGAACACCGCTCATCCAACCCCTTAGTTGTACCACTTTCGATTCTAAGTGGGCTACCTCCGAAAATATTATGGAAGCTGGATTTCTTGAGTTTGTAGGGAACTGTCACATGACCGAGACCCTTCCTTACTATCACACTCAGTGCCAAGATTATGAAAGTAAGCACCGCTAAAAACTAAGTTTTAATTTACCTCCCTTGCCTTTGTAGGCAATAGGTCGGCATTTTAAGCTGTCCTCACTCAAACTCACGATCACTATTTTTTCCTCAATCAGGACTCACGCCCACTCACGAACACGATTTATTCAAAATAGGGTCATCACCCGGACTCACCCTCACGGTTCAACACAAAACCAAAACTCACCCGCCGTCATCATCGCGGTCGTCACGCTCACATATCATCGCGGTCATCACGCTCACAGGTCATCACAAATCATCAGACTCACAGGTCATCACACTGACAGGTCCTCACACTCACAGGTCATCACGGTCCTCGCACTCACAGGTCCTCACACTCACAGCTCTACACGGTCCTCACACTCACAGGTCCTCACGGTTTTCACACTCACACAGGCCCTCACGGCCCTCACACTCACAGGCCATCTCGGTCCTCGCACTCACAGGTCCTCACACTCACAGCTCTACACGGTCCTCACACTCACACAGGCCCTCACAGTCCTCGCACTCACAGGTCCTCACACTCACAGCTCCTCACGGTCCTCACACTCACAAGTCCTCACGGTCCTCGCACTCGCACAGGTCCTCACGGTCCTCACACTCACAGGTCCTCACACTCACAGCTCTTCATGGTCCTCACACCTCACAGGTCCTCACGGTCCTCACACTCACACAGGTCTTCACGCTCATCTTACTCACAGGTTCTCACACTCACAGGTCATCACGCTTAAAGGCTGCTTTCTTTGTTTTTCTTTTGTTCCTCGCAAGCCGTTGGTCTGTCTCCGCGTGAGTCGTGCGACGGGGAAACTACCCCAAAACAGTGAACTTCTGAACCGCTTATCCAATTTGAAAAAAATGTACTATGTTTATGTTTATGCTCCACATATTTCTACCAAATCTCGTTCACCCTGATTAGTTACGAAAATAACTAAATGCAAGCTGACGAAATTGGGTGTGTTGAACTTTCGCCTGCTGACAAGGGCAGCGGAAAAACACAAACGCGCCTTCCGACAGGTTACACAGACAACGTCGCAGTGATTAGAACATCGCCTCGCTGTGCGTACCTCGCTCATTTGTATACAAATGAACGAATAATGCATATATCATCCCCGTTTCTTTTTTCGTGTGCCACCCACACGTAATTCTACGGAAGTTTATGCAGCATATATATAATAAACATATGCACTGACCAAATTTTTCTTCTATTTTTTTCTTTTTTTTTTGGGGGGGGGCGGTATTGTTAGGTAGGGTGACGTCCGTCTGGTTTGAAATCTCACCATAATCCCTGTTGGATGTGTTGGGTGAGGGGTTCCGCAGTTCTGCGGTGTCCGTCAGTCGTATGCTGTTCTATGAGCAGAGACCGTTGGAGGCCGAGTTTTCCTTCTCACTCGAGCTACTTCTGCTTTTGTTGATCGACCGTACTTGCCGCACTGGGCTGCGATTTAAGGAATCATCAGCCAACATTGTTTTTCAGTCATCTCGGCCTTTATAAACTACTGTCAGCATTTATTATCTTGATACGTGCAGCCGTCCTTGAATTGGTTTCATTTGGATTGGTTTGGCATGGCTTGGCTTAATTTGGTTTAGAGTGGATCGGGGGTTTGGGGTCGTCTCCGTGTGTCTCTTTGTCGCGCTCTCGATCACGTAGGGTGCGCCACTTTTTATGTGGTAAGCCGCGCCATTCTTGGCGCGCTGTTCATCGAACAAGTTTTTATAGACTGATCGTTTCATTGACACTGCGATGTTTCATCGGCAGACAGTTTCTTCGACATTCGATGCTTGACAGAGTTTGCTACATTTCGTCAACACGCCTTTTTTTTTTTTTTTTACTCGGACGTTTAGACGACATTTGTCTTTCTCTCTCTTTCATCGACGCGGCTTCTTGGCGTCTCGCGTTCTTCGCATGTTCGCAGCGCACTACCGTGGTGTCCGCTACGGACAGGGCGCAGGAGGGGCAAGCGCAAATGCTCCTCACTCTTTGTATGCAGTGCGCTGTGCGCTTACGTTGCTGGAGTGGTGCGTGCGGCGAGGCGTTCTTTTGGATACGGTTGGCTGTACGGGCGCGTGATCGGCCTGTCTAGCGGCTATTTGTTTACGT